CAATTGTTTTTCTTCCTTTCATGTCATTTTTGCATTTTCAGTACATTTTATAATTACAACACAATTTTTTAATTTACAATTCAATATAAATCCTGCAGTATTTTTATAAGGCGGATTCTTACACATTTATGGGTATGTATGACAAACGAAGCTGGCTCTAACATTCATTTAATACAAGAATTCTTCCTGTAGCAGTAGCGCTTCTTGTGAAAGAGTTCCTCCAGGGAAGTATTGCCACGTTACCTGTTTCTGCTGCCAAACAGTCATGTCAACATTACTGCGTTCCGGTTTTAAAGGGCAAAGGTGCTGGTGAAATTACATGCACGTGGGACTTGTCAACTTATGTCTCAGGGTGACGGGCGCAGTGGCGGTGCCCCTAAGATCTTTGCGATTTAAAGCTCTGAGTGGCACTGCAACTGTTATGGATAGGCTTGCCACTTGCCACCAGGCGCTCGACTTGTTTGTCCCGTCACTTGGTATTATAAAAAAAACCAAGCTTAAAGACCGAGTTCAGAACTCCGAAATTCGAAGATATATACTAAGGGTCCAGACATAGGTACACGTAGACGTAGGAACTCAGACGGAACTGGGCAGGTCATATTAGCAGATCATAGTCAAGTAGCGATTAAGGTTCAACTCACACTGGCGCAGAGTCGAAGCGTCGCGTCGCGTCTTGTTTTTCAACTACACCGCCTGGCGACGCGCGACGATGATCGCATTAATGCGCCGGGATCACAGTGTGGTCGGCGTCTGACGCCTTCCACGCGCGAAGCCGCTCGAATGCTACCAAGCGTCGACGCGCGTCGACCCTCGACTCCATATTTGCAAAACACAAATTTGTACCTTAATAATGGGAGAACAGAGATGAATATGCTATAGGCGAAAAACATGACGCGTCGCGACGCTTCGACTCTGCGCCAGTGTGAGTTGAGCCTAAAGAAATTGAAGTGTCTTGCAGCGAATTCAAAGCCAAATTGAAATAATAACATATCGCACTGTTAATACAATAATGTACTAAGTCAAAATGTGTATTTTTTCAGAATCGTTGAAAAACTAATTACTCGCTTTCCGTGAAAGATTACTAAATTTAAATGTATAAAATAATATTATAAATTTATATAAATTATATTTAAACCTACACGGTTAAAGTGTATTACAGACATCTAAAGAATTATCTGCTCGCCAAATATATACTGATATTTGTGTAAAGACTTACAAAAAGTTTTGTCTTATTTTGAGTTAAGTAGATGTCTTTTAATTGTTTCTTACAATACTCTAATGACGCTGTTATTGACGTGTAGAGAATAAAGTTTTACATTCGGCATTAGTATAATCTCGAATTTCACATATTTTGAGTTACAACACTATTGTAATAGCAGTGCGATATTTTTATTTCATTGGTAAGCAAATCACACGTGAAATTATCATATAGTTTAAACTCCAAGAAGAAAGAGTAAGAAATTTATAGATTAAGTTTAATTTAAATTACAAATAAGATTATTTGTAAATTAACATTTGCTAGACGGGCAGCGCGGGGTAGTGGATGGCACCAACTAAGGGAGCCGTGTACAAGCAGCGTATGAAGTCAGGCTGTGGACGATGGCGATAAATAACATACCTTTGACTTTTTCCAAGAGAAATCTTAAAGTTTCGTGATGGACGAGAGTAAAAGTATAGCTCGGACTCAAAGAATTATAAACTTGAGATTAGGTAAGTTGAAATTTGATTATCACCGTACGTAATAGGAAAGAGATAACATGTTAAGCCATCTTGTGTTATACGATCTTTATCAAAAGAAACATTTACGGTAGAAGATATAGCGGACAACTGAGAATTAGTTACTAAGATCAAATGAAAGAGAAGTTCTATTCGAGGTCGTGTAAGGAGGTCCAATATTTACTGGACCTTTCGAGTTCTTTGAACTTACAACAGAGAAACTTGAAATAGCATCAAAATGCTACATCTGGCACAATCCTTTCACCACGATGGTAAGCATTATAGTGTATGCCATTGATACGACAAGAAGAAGAAGAAGAAGAAAATATGCACGCGGTCGATTTGATGTTTGTATTGGAAACCAAAGACACTCTGTATTATGTTACTAGCGTAACCCTAACTTTAGTATGTAAACGCTGTAGCAATTTAAGTTGTTGTCTCGGGATGTCGATGTTTCGTTAACAAAGTTATACGTGTATGCAAGAAGTTTGCACTACGAAGTAAAAGTTTAGTAGCGAAGAGGAAGTTTTTGGAGCGTTCAAAACTCAGCGTGCACTTGTTTAAAATTAGATGCTAAAAACAATGGAAGATTGCAAAGCACACATAGTTACGAAATAGTTATAGTACTTAATTATGTAGTGATTGCTTGCTGACCAATCATTCAGGCAACAACCAGAAACCACAAAAGAGTTTAATCTGTCTACGACTTTATAAACATGTTTTGATTAATTCTGACTAGTTTCGAGTTCTTAGGGTTTCGCGATTGCCACATATTGGAAATGAAACTAATTTTTTCCCGATCTAAATCGTGAATCCATTTTTTTTTAATAAACCAACGTTTCGGGCACTTTAGAGGTGGCATGTTTGGGACCATGGCAACATGGTTGGGTTCCGGAATGGAAAAAACAAAAAGATGCAACTTAGATCCGAAAAAATAGTTTCATTTCAATTTTTTTTTAAGATACCACGTGACGGGACGAAGTTGTAAATGACACGTCTGTCCATAACAGTTGCAGTAAGCAACTCAGAGCTTTAAATCGTAAAGATCTGAGGGGCGCCACTACGCCCGTCACACTGAGACATAAGTTGACAAGTTCCATGTGCCTGTAATGTCACCAGCACCCTGACCCTTCAAAACCGAAATGCAGTAATGCTCACATTACTACTTGGCGGTTAAAATAGGTAAGGTGATAGTACTTCATGACATATAGCATACAGCACAACTCTTCATTTGGAGTCCAGATGGTGGCTGAATTAGATACATTATGCAATTACAAAGAAAGTGTCATGGAAATATCTCGAATTTGCAACGCACCAATGACGTTGCTTAATTTGTAAGTTGTTCCATATGAGTATAACAAATTATTTACTGTTATAAACGGTGGAAAAGAGCTGCGAAATAGATTTGCAGTACAAATAAATTATATACGTGATTTTATCACTTTACGTCAGGAAACGCGGTTTCATTTCATCTCTGACGTCCCTGCGGAGTAGAAAACTTTCACATTCAATCCGCAGATTGCTCCGTTTGAGCGGCTTCTGTTATTTTATATCTCCTTTATGTAACTGGTACCTATTATAGTGGATGTAACATACGTACATATTCCTAATATCGTATACAAACACGCGAAGATAACAAGGTAAATGCAGGGGGCTCAAGACCGTACCTTGTGGCAGTCCAACTTTCAGTAGAGGAAGTAAAAGTCTACCTGATGTTATATACGTGGTGTTTTTTGTTTTCGTTTAACCCTTTTCTCTCAGGCGAGGGTTTAGGCTATGGTCCGCCACGCTGGTCCAATGCGGGCGCGTAATTTGGGGGGTCCATGTGGACCTAATACACGTAACTAACCAGTTAAAGGCCTGCTCATTTACCTCCCACTTTCCCCATACGAAAGGACCTTGCACTACATAAGCCTGGTGCTCTGTCGCTGTGTCTCATCCGAGCGACTGATCACAGATCAACATAACACAGGTTTCTGCTGTTAGTATTAAGTCGCAACAACCATTCCAACCCATTATCCTTGACGCAACCACAACTATTTGTTACAGTGTTGGGCAATTTACACGTTTTCCGAGGGTTGTAAACCTTCTTCGATGTGCAGGTTCAACACGACGTTTTCAAAGCTCATGGTTAAATTAAATTTCGCAATATACGTATTCCCAGAAACTCAGAAGCAGTAGGTTAAACCATTACGGATTTTTTTTTATTTAAACGGCTTAAATAAAATTTTTAAATATTTTTATTTGCCTAAAACAAACTACCAAAACAAAACGCGGTGTACTTAGCCGTCCGCGATACATATGTAGTATTTTTAACGTAATAAATGTGTTTCTTGCAATTTTCTTCACGCAATTTTCTTTACAACTCAGCCAAGTCGAAAGATAATGAAACAAAAGACGGCTTGTACAGAGATACACCAAGCAGGTAAGTTATTTAGTAATTTTGTAAGTATATCGTCGATTAAAAAAAAACATGGTGAAACCCGTGTTGCCAGATGGTTACTTTTCTTACATTTTTCGTAACTTTTGACCTTCTCGCGTAATTCGTAACATTTTAAGGTAATTTTCGTAACGATTGAGGACGTTGAAATTTTTTAAATTCAACTGTATTTGCTATTGTTAATCCTAAATAGTTTACGACCGCACACAAATTAAACATGATAGTAACTCAGAGAGAGTGCAAACAAAGTGAAATCAATAAGTTACTGGTTATAGCTTCTTTTTTAACACTTTTATAATTTCAAAAAAAAGGAGGAAGTTCTTAATTCTGCTGTGCGTTTTATTTTGTATGTATGTTGTGCCAAATTTGTGAACCGATTTTAATGATTTTTTTTGCTGGAAAGAGGGTGCCTCAATAATGTGCACTCGGTGGTCATATGAACGAGACCGTCCATTCTTAAATATAACATACTGATCCCGTAAATTTCAACTCGATATCTTAATTATTCTGTTTTATTGAAATACAAAATTGTTACGTCCGATAATCAAAATCCGATATTTTCGTGAAAACCGACGTACAATTCATGGATCAAGAGCAAGTCAAGCTGACTGTGACACTTAACGCTTGGGGCACCTTCAGTACACGCTGGTAGAAGAGCTGTAGTAGTGCGACAGCGGCGTGTCGTCGTAATTTATTGTGACTGCAAAAGTGGAGCGCTATAAGCATCTAATTTGAAGGCGACCTTAAATTCAACTTTATTCTTATTGCAATAAGACCAATCCAAAGTATCAGGCTTGACGTACTCTACACATTAGTAAAAAAATACAAAGGTATTTGAACCTACCTGGTCTTTCTCTTCTTGAGATTTCGGCCACAGAGTCACATTGAGCACGATCTCCCCCAAATCCTGGTTAGTCTTATTAGGATCCCGTAAGCAGAGAACCAGGTCCTGAGTGCGGCCAAGCTCCAAGGCCGTGAGGTCTAAGTGACAGGATCCCATGAAGTCGTCTTGGAGGCCCCAATCGTAGTCGAACACCTGGAAAAAAGAGGGTTGGTAGGATAATAATTTCAGAATTGAAGGCTTTTTAATGGGCAATGGAGTTAATTGTCTTTCTTTATTACGTTTCTCACAAAGCCTAATTCACACCCACACCCAAACGCGTCTGTTGAATGAATGAAATTTTAGTACTGTTTTGTATTCTATGCGTTATTGTTTAGGTAGAATAGAATATAATATCCTTAGACAGTATATCTTTTTATTGTTATTTTATCTTTTTTATCTTGTACAGTCAACAACACATCAAGCTTTGTGCTGCCGTCTGTACAAAATGTTTAATTCACTTTATATTACAATTGGCATATTTACATTAATCAACTGTTTAATACAATCTTATAATGAATTTGAAAGTGGAGTAATGTCACAAAAAATAATTGAATATCAATCTAATAAAAATTTAAAATACAGTAACACTTGTGCAAATTTAAAACTTCGTGAGGTCCGCTGGTTCGTTCCGTGCCTTAGTTGGTATAGCATCTGGCACGGTATGCTAGAAGACGTCGGTTAGAATCCGGCCGGATCGAAGGAACTTTTTCTGAGTGTTCGATCTTTGTATTAATAATTATAACAAATTAGTGGAGTAATTTCACATAAAAAAATAGTTGAATATCAATTCAATAAAAATTTAAATAGACTTAATACGGTTAAATAGTAACAGAAAGAGCTTGTAAGGCTCGCCGCACACACACAATATTATTGGCAATCCAGGTTTGTCAATAAAATGTTATAAATAACACGCAATTGACCATAAAGTTCATTACGCTATGTATAATATCGTTACAAAAATTTGTGAAGGAGAATAGCAGTATCTCGCGTTTGTATAATATATATAATAAGTAATATGTTTAATATAAAACATGAAACGGTAGAGAAATAAAAGTAAAGAAATTTATCCCGTGACACGCCCTGGGGCATCATTTATTTTGTTTTGTTATTTTCGTTGCAGACTGTCACAATTTATAAGCATTTAGGCTGAGTCAAGGCCTTTTAGTACAAAATGGGTGTAAATTAGATCTAGTTTACAACCTCAGTGGCGCAACATTTGCTCTGTGGGCACTGCGAAAGGAGACACCGGGTTCTGAAGTTTATGTTTATGTTGGTAATCCGAATTTTGGTAACAGTAGAGCTCCTTGTGAAAGAATTCGTCCGGGAAGTACTGGCACCTTACCGAATTCTACCGCCAAGCAGTAATGTGGGTATTATTGCTATCCGGTTTTGAAAGGTAAGGGTTGTGGTGATATTACAGGCACATGGGACTTGTCAACTTATGTCTCAGGGTGACGGGCGCTGTGGCAGTGCCCCTCAGAACTTTGTGATTTAAAGCTCTGCGTGGCATTACAATTGCTATGAACAGACGTGTCGCTGACCACCAGGCGCGCGCCTTGTTCTTCTCGTCACTTGGTATTATAAGTAAGAGAAATATTGTTTTCTCAATCTCTTCAAACATTTTGCGCATTTTTCGCACGACTGCACGTGCATATGCAACGCATTCGCCAAATCTATACGCACCGTACAATCGCAGTATACTGCTTCATTGTATAAAGGCAGCGAAACGATATTCATGAATTCGTACCAACCGATGTTTTATGAAATGAAGTATTTATTTGTTCAATGTTTCTTAACATAATCGTCGTGCTGAACAACTAATTACGTTTAACCCAATGAAATAAATGGCAGCGACGGTAGTATACTTTTGACATCAACATCCTTAAAGATAGTATTAACAAAATGTTCTTATAGGTTCAATGCGAGGGTTAAAATCTGTCCTTTCTGCCAACCTATTAATGAAGGTTTCATACTTGTATAACACGATTTGTTAAGGCTTGTTCTCCAACACAGTATTGACCACTTCCATGGTCGAATGGCTTGTACACTGTTTATCATGATAATCTCTACTGCTACAAAAAATGAATATACAAAAAACTTAGACCTTAATAAAACGAAAAACTGAACTCAAAGCTTATTAAGTTTTTATTACAACGAAATGTAATTTGACCCGAAAGTTGGAAAGAGATGGGAGTAAGCAAGTTTATAACATCAAAACAACAGCACAACAAAAACAAAAAACTTTGACGAGTTCGTTTCAATCCATTTTCATAGCTTGTTTATTTGTAGTGTTCCCATAACAAAGATGCGAATAAAACTGTATTTTCTAACAAAGTCATTAATTCAGTTTGGAGAAGCTCTTATAAATATATGTATAACATATTTACATATAGTATAAAAGTTATCTAAATAATCTTTGAAATTTACCTTGAGTAAATTTCAAAGATTTTAGTAGCAGTAGAGCTTGTGAAAGAGTTCGTCCAAGGAAGAACTGTCACCTTACCTATTTCTGCCGTCAAACAGTAATGTGAGCATTACTGCGTTCCGGTTTGGAAGGGTGCTGGTGAAATTACAGGCACATGGTCTTGTCAACATATATTTCAGGGTGACGGGCACAGTGGCAGTGTCCCTAACATCTTTGCGTTGAAAAGCTCTGAGTGGCACTGCAACTGTTATGGATAGGCGTGTAGCGTGTAATTTATCACCAGGCGCACGACTTGTTCGTTCCGTCAAAAAAAAAGTTTGATGAAAAAATTGACATCTGTAACTGTGGTCGTGGTGGACATTTATCAGATATCATTTTTCATTCTTAATTGCCAAACCTTACTTTTTTTAATATAATAAAAATTTGAATGATTATCATCTAAATTTATTGTTTTATTTTGATTTACAAAACAAAGTGTTGAAAAACCCTTTATGTCTAAGAAGGCTCACAACCCTCAGAAAACGTGTGAAGTCCCCAACCCGCATTGGGCCAGCGTGGCGGACTATGGCGTAGGCCCTTGCCTGAGAGGAGACCCGTGCCCAGCAGTGGGGCGTGTAAATGGGTTGATGATGAATGAATAAATTTTAAGGAATCACGTCTGTAGTTATTTGTTATATTTCATTTCTTGGTTTATTGTTTGTCCTGCAATTATTGTGATCCCGTTCACGGACCGTTTACCGTGAAATGAAATGTTAGAATATGATAGTACGGCGTCGTGTATATAACCAGAAATAGAGACGAAATGTCATTTAATTTTGTTTGAAAACTATTCTGCCATGTCACTATCATTACGGTGACAACTGCGCTCCGATTGGCTAGTCCGAAATTCGAAATAATTGACGGTGTCGTCAATTGCTTCACTTCAAATCGACCAGTTTAACTTGAGCTTTGCTATAATGGACGAAAATTGAAAAATTACATATTTAATTACCGATGAAATGTGATTCCGTTTGTTTTGTAATTAGATGTTTTGCTTTTTTTCCCACACCACCGAATGGAACAGCCCCCCATAGTTAGAGATATTACCTTTATTACAATAAATACAGAATATTTTGAAATATACCGAGACGTACTTACAGGTCAGTTGTTGGCGCTGTACTATTTCAGATTTCTAATTTGTGATTTCCGTGCAAACGAAAGTTGATATTTAAATGTGATAGATATATGGCCCATTTACCTGATGAGTTGCTAGGGAAGGCCATTATTTCGTCTCTATTTCTGGTTATATACTCGGTGTAGTACGGGATACCCCTTTCGCTGTATTGGTCTCAAACAACCAACTACGGGATTTACTTTTCCATACAGAAGTATTAACAAACGTACACTAACAAAATTCAATGGTTTACATACATTGATCAATCTATATAAGTACTAACTACACTATGGTAAGTAAAGTACCGACATTTTTGTGTGTGGCGCTATTTAAGTACCTACTACATACTGTCCATGAAACGGTTACAAATATTTACTGGATTGAAATAAAAAATATATAAATATATCCAAACAAAACAAAGCCATTTTCGCAATGGCGGTCGCCCGTCGAAGGGGTATCAAATCAACGGAACGTTGATACCTCTTTTTTACTATTTCTTATTTCGATAAAATTAATTCTAAAAAAACATAGTAAAATAAATTAATGTCACGATTCGCTAACAATAGCACTTACGGGGTACCCCATTTAGTTACATGGATATCAAAAACCCGGGTCGTCGCATACAAACTGTACACTAAACATAAATAGTACTATTTGACACCAATAGATGGCGTGGCAATCGAAATAGAACGCGCTAGCGTTTTGTTACACAGATTCCCTTATCATTCTCGATGATTCTCGTTTCTCACTTTTTCCACTTCTGAACTATTGGAAATAATTTTTGGAAGCGCCTCGCTTCTTAAGGCCAGTGTATTTATTGACCGGTAAACGAGGCGCCCGAACGTAAAATAAATTGAAAAGATAATTACGGGAAAGCACCATTTATATTATATTTATTTATTTGGGAAACATACAGCATCATAACATTTCATTTTTAACAAACACTAGCCAAAACAGTTTCCACTAATGTAAAAATCACTCAAAAAGTGCCATTGAAATTCGGAAAGTGAAATTCACTCATAGTAGATTCGCCGGTCATTTTTGTATTAATAAAATTATGCGTGCCCTATCTAGGTATTGAAATATATTTTGGAATGATGGAATGGATGCTTGTTCGGTGACTATTCGATAAAAAACGTATGCATTCGTGCCGTGTGAAAGAGATGCAATAACACTATGCGCCACTGCACACCAAATACGTTAAAGTTCATACGATTTGACAGTTCGAAGAAGGGAGAACTTTTGTCTTCGGGCTCAAGCTAAACCCGCTGTCTGCGTTTTTTTTTTGCACGACAAACACCGTGTGAACGGATCTATATCTAATATGTTTATTCGGTAAGTTTTATACTGCAAAAAAAAACGTGCAGTACAATGCCATGTGAACGAGGGGTAAGACTTTTAATAAGTTTGCTGGCCTCATAGAGTCGAAGTGACCAAATTTGAAAAAAAAAAAAAATTTATGATACAGAAAGGTATACATACTGAAAGGTCAATTACAAGGATTAATTCCTTTTATATAACGTAGTATCTTAATTTGAAAGAACACGATAAAATTTTTCGATTTAGATAAAATAT